GTGTCTTTGACTTTTTGATGCGATCGACCCGGGTTCCATCCCACCTTTTACCGAACTTTTTTTTTTCTCCCTTTTCAAATCTCGTATTAGCAATGGATTCTATTTACACTACGTGAAAATAGCAGTATTTTTAGCAATATGCTATTTACACTGTTAAAATAGCAGGATTTCTACTATCAAGCATACTACTTGTTACAAATAGTGGCAATTATCTGGACTTAAGTATTGTAGTACATTATAAAACAGTATGCAATAATAACGTATTGAGTGTAAATTATAATTTTAATTTTAATGATTAAATGGATGCCACCTTATTGGTACAATAAAGCCCTCCCTACACCTACCCTAACCCTACCCGATACTTTATTTTCAACTTTTTGATTATTTCCTTAATTTTTACTGAAAATAAATGCCTTTACGATGTGATACGAGATTTGAAAAGGGAGAAAGAAAAAGTTCGGCAAAAGGCGGGATCGATCGCGTCAAAAAGTCAACAACACGCACTTATCCATCTGCGCCACTGGAGCTGATGTGACTTGTTAATTTGTTTTCGGATTTGTCGTTGTGTTTTCTGACTTGTTAATTTGTTTTCGGATTTGTCGTTGTGTTTTCTGACTTGTTAATTTGTTTTCGGATTTGTCATTGTGTTTTCTGACTTGTTATTTTGTTTTCGAATTTGTCATTGTGTTTTCTGACTTGTTATAATGTTTTCTGAATTGTTGCTGTGCTTTCTGAATTATTTTGTTTTTTAGACTTGCATTTGCGTTTGTTATTTGTTATTTTGTTTTCAGAATTGTGATCTGCTTTGCACTTCTCGGCCACCGTAGATTACAGTGTTTCAAAGAATTTGTACCAGTTTTTTATATAAACTCCTGATTGATTCCACATAATTATCTTGTTTTCAGAGAGCTTTGGCAAGCCTCCTGTTCACTTCCAACCAACCTCTCTACAAGAAGAAGCGAGGATGTATGCTGGGAGAGCACAGCAGAGGTCTCATCAGAATGACCATGAGCCAGGCGATGAACCCTACGACCCGTTCCACCCATCATCCTCGCCACCTCCAGAAGCGACCAGCTCCACCAGTCTTGACAAGATTGCATCAACTCTTCTTGAGCTCGTGGCTCGTAGATGAAGTTAGGCTGATGAGTCAGTTCATAATATAAGATGGTTATAGCTTAACAATAGTCTACAGTGATTGATCACCTTTATGTAAATTCATACAAAAACTTTCAGTAAATGTAATACTGTTTTCATCCGCCCATACCGCTTATCCTCTGCAGGGTCACGGAGGGCTGGAGGTTATCCCAGCATCTCGGGCCACAGACAGGAAAATACTCTGAATGGATAGGAAGTCATCGCAGGGCACACACACACACACACATTCATAATGTTTTGAATTGCTACCTAAATTCTCACTGCTTTTCATTTTGTCACGATTTGTAGCCTGCTTGCTATTGTCTTTTCTGTTTGGTTTGTGTACTAAGAAATTGTAATGGGTTTTGTTCAAATGGTTTATAAGAAAGATGATTGAAAAAAATAAACAGTTCAACCCAAATTTGACCATCCTTTTTTTAGCAATAATTTAAAAAAATTGTATTTAATAAATTGACTGGTTTTGAACTATGGCGTATAAAATATAACAAGCATTTCATGTTTTGTTTTTTTATTATTTCAAACACCTAGTGCCAAACCCTTGTAAATAAAAGTATTGTGAATTTTTTTCCCAAAATCCCAATATTGTAATATTTTTGTGTGAAAAGCTGACCACAGAACTGGATTCAACTATAATAAAAACATTTTTTGATTTTTAACATAATTTTGTACTTGGGACAAGAGTATTTTTTTTATAAATATAACATTTGTCATGTATTATATGTTGTAAACACGTACCTTGCTATATACATATAATTACTGTTTTAGAATAATGAAATACTGAGGTCATTCTTATTTTGATTCCACAAACAGATTCACAAAATGCATACAATTAAAGCGTATGCATTCATGTGATGTGCAGACCAGCTCAAACTCTCGCTGAACTGAAGAACAATCACATTCAATGGCGAGTACGTCACAGTTAACGTATCACTTCTTCCGGTTTAAAAAAAAAAGTTGTCAAATCGCCGGCCATCTTGGTTCCTGTAACAGCCTGAAATAAATTAAATATTACGACGAACCGGAGTACGCTACGATTTCATCACGTAAAGTGAGTATAAAAATGATGTACTTTGCTGCGTTACTGTTCGGTTGCTATCTACAACTTGGTTTGGATGAAGCGGGGGTCGTTTTGAGCTCGTGGTCTAATAAAAGTTTTCATCCAATGGACGATTGTTTTGGAGGATGAACATAGGCGCCATTTTCCTCCTCGCTCTCTGAAGCGCTTATTGGTGGCTAGTGGAAGGGAATGGAGGCGGTCAGGAAACTGTTGGACATAGGTCGCCATTTTGGCTCTCTAGTGTAAATGACTTCTATTGGCTCACTGGTTCGTTCTGAGCCTAAATGGTGGCAGTTTCATAACTACCAGAACCCTTAGAAACCTTGATTGGTGGAATCTAGTCCGAGGTTTGATTGGTCTGAAGGACAGATCCAAACGTAGTCTTTATTGGTTAGACTGTCTTTACACCGCTTTACAAATATTGTAGGAAAACTCGGTCAAAGCCTTCCAAAACCATCATTATTTCACTTCTCCTAGTTTGACGGGAATCAGTCAATGCGGCCTGCTAACGTAGCGAGCACTGTCTAACGTTACCTTTATGCCGCTCATTTTATAGTCCTTATCTGTCCGTACAATCTTACTGGCTGTAGATGTTTTGAGATGTAAATCAGTCTCTATGGGTTTCATCTAGAACAATGTTACACACACATACACTGAATGTTTGCATGGTTTCGGTTAGCATGTCTCCCGGTAGCCTGCAAATGCGTGTCAACTTCGTTAATGAAAAAAGCATTTGTAATTTGTATCAGTATCAGTGTTTATTACGATTCACCAGAGGTATAAGACATGTACATCTGTGTGCTTAATTTATTCGTCTTGGAATTTATTCCGTGTATTTTCATTTTGCAAAATGTGCGGATGGTGTCATTGTATACATTGCATAAACAAATACGCTTCTACTTGTCACCTATGAATGAAAAAAAAAATACTAACGTCATAATTACTAGATTTAGCAAAAAGCTGTCATTTAAGACGTAATTGACATGATTTTAATGTACTAGGTTAAATGGAGGTCAATTCATAGCACATGAACTCACTATTTACACATGATTCATCAGTGAGCGTTTCAAGGCAACACTTAAAAGCAATATCATTGCCTATTGACCTTGATTTTACAAGAAACATAATGGCATTCATAGCAAATGTTGCCATAATCTTTCAGTACTGTTGCTGTAAATCATTTACCTGCTTTTCACATGTATTTTAACAACAACAAAGTATAGGAAGCATTGTGATGCAGTTGTTGCTCTGGTTTTCATCTATACTGTTTAAAGCTAACCCCTTATTTTTGATGTGCATCTCTCACATAAGTAAAAAAAAACAAAAAAAGTCAAGTGTCTCCTCACTGAAGGTCTCCGCAAAGTGTTAGCAGACTTGGTTCTTTATGAAAAATAATATGAAATCTTAAATCTGCTGTGCATCAATTGGATTTGGGCGGAAGGTGCGTAGGCCGTCTTGCATGTGGTGACATGAAGTTTCGGGAAATAAAGAGACTAATAAAGAATCAAGTGATGATGTTAAGCAAGTTAAGGTGTGATTTTTGTGGGCAAAAAAAGTCTATTGACAATAGTATGTAGATAGATTCAGCTTAAGCAGAAGTGACTTAACTCAAAATTTCAGATTGCATAGATTAGAAATAACTGGATTTCTGGTGAAAATTTGGAGTGAATTAGCTGAACAGTGGCAAATGTGACTGCCCCATTTGTATTCTTCTTCTGCTAATAACCATAATTAAATGAAAAGTTAACAAATAAGCGTAATAACAGTTGCATAACTTGTATAATTTTTGGTCACATGAGATGCTGTATGGTTACACGTATTCGAGGTTAAACCATTTGACATGACCCTTCAGGTCAACTTTACATTCATTTAGGACACAGTTAACATTGAGGTTAGGTTTCATGTGCTGCACTGCATGCATGTTCTTTCACTCAAATGAGATTGGAAGTCTAACCTGAGTGACTTTCCACTTTAAATCATGTGGCTACGGCACCCGGCATGCTCTTATAAAAAATATGAAATCTTAAATCTGCTGGGCATTGACTAGTTTTGGGCGGAAGGTGCGTAGGCCGTTTTGCATGTAGTGACATGAAGTTTCTGGAAATAAAGAGACTAATAAAGAATCAAGTGATGATGTTAAGCAAGTTAAGGTGTGATTTTTGTGGGCAAAAAAAGTCTATTGACAATAGTATGTAGATAGATTCAGCTTAAGCAGAAGTGACTTAACTCAAAATTTCAGATTGCATAGATTAGAAATAACTGGATTTCTGGTGAAAATTTGGAGTGAATTAGCTGAACAGTGGCAAATGTGACTGCCCCATTTGTATTCTTCTTCTGCTAATAACCATAATTAAATGAAAAGTTAACAAATAAGCGTAATAACAGTTGCATAACTTGTATAATTTTTGGTCACATGAGATGCTGTATGGTTACACGTATTCGAGGTTAAACCATTTGACATGACCCTTCAGGTCAACTTTACATTCATTTAGGACACAGTTAACATTGAGGTTAGGTTTCATGTGCTGCACTGCATGCATGTTCTTTCACTCAAATGAGATTGGAAGTCTAACCTGAGTGACTTTCCACTTTAAATCATGCGGCTACAGCATGCGGCACCCTCTATGAGACCACCCTGAGCCAATCACTGTTCATGGGCTCATTTGCATCACCGCACGCCTGGCCAATCCGCTCCTCCGAGGGGCGGGCTTTAGAGACATTTAGTTTGACTTTGTAAATAAGCAAGGGACAGTTGTTTGAGAAGTCAGTTGTTCAGTCCAGCTCCGTCCAGCCACAGTAGGGAAGATGATCTGCAGGGGACAGATTTTTAAAGGCTCGCAAACCGAGACGATCCTCCGCCCTCCCTGCGTCCTTTTTGCAACTTTCTGCTGCTTTTGTCTGGTTTGTTTTTTTCTCTCTCGTTCTTTTAATTCCCTGACCCCTATCCTGCAGCTCAAGGTAACTTAAAACAGGAAGTTGAGTGTCTGTAAAAGGGGGCGGAGTGGAGAGGGTAAGCAGGGAGGAGGGGGATGACACGGCCTACAGATGGCTGGCTAGGCCAATAGCGGCAGAGACCGACTCGGGCTCATTTGAAGAATCCAGCAAGGGGGCAGGTTCTTGGAGATAGGCGGGCCGAGAGTATCGTTTAGCAAGCTAGATTGATTACAGTCGAGTGTTAAAGGGAAAGCAGTCAGGAGATTTTTGCTCCGACTTGTTCTGCTGCTCTGCATTGCTCTCACACTTTTATTTCTTTTCATCCATCCCTTTTCTCCACCTCTCCTTCACTTTCTCGCCTGTTTTTCCGGTCACTCGTGCCGAGGCAGGGGTCAGCTGAAAGACAAATAGTAGGGTTGCCAGGCAGAGGCCAACTCCAGGCTCCAGGCGGCTTCAGGGGAGGAATGGGAGTGGGTTGTGTGTTTAGGAAAGGGGGGAGGGGGGTGGCTGAAGAAGATGGGCTAATGGAAGGGGGAGGGGTCGGAAAGGGGGGGGCGGTAGGTGATCGCGCTCCCCTCGGCTCGGGGCTTTGAAAGCAGCAGCAGATCGCCTGTCCCACAGCCTTTTGTCTCCTCCTGGGACCAAGCCTTTGGACTAGACAGTTAAGGAGACTTTCGAGATGTCCTCCTGTTCTCCAGTGCCCACAGCGCAGCATATGAAGGGCACGGGGTAAGTGTGACTTGCGACTGCAATCAGACAGTAAAGCTCTCTCTCTCTCGCTCTCTCTCGCTGCAGTAATGGGATGCTTCCTCTGTCCTCCGCTGCGCTTTTCTCCTCCTCCTTTCGTCCTCTACTTTTCCCCTTGCTTGAAATCTGAGTGAACATCTTTGTGTTTTCTGTCCTGTTCATTTTGAAGTCCTTAAGCAGACTACCAATGTTTGACATGATGATGTAAACATTAACTAGCTGGAAATTTCACTGGTTTTGCATACGGAATTTTAACTTTCCATCGTTGAACTGCATGGCGTACTCTTTGATCGCAGTTGACCTCTAAGTTCAGTTCATTCACTTTGACTTTGGACCTATTGAAGGTCCCATGCTGTTGTGTATCTCTGGTACATCTGTGTTGCTTACAGAGACCGATAGAAATGATGGCCCTGGCTGCATAGGACCGCTAGTTCCGGTTCACCTTTCAAGGCCCAGTTTCATGGCTTGTTTACACTCTTGTGACAGTGAAGCAGAGCAGAGGACAGTATGGATGTGGGCTTTACGTGACCATCATGGATTGGGGTTTATATGGGGACTTTTAGCCCCCTAGTTCATCATGTACAGACGGCTGTCCTCACACAATGCCTCGTTATGGAATCCGGTCGGATTAAAGTCTCTTTTTCGTTTGTGTACTAGAAAGTTTCCATTAGTGATGGTATTAAGGTCCTTTTGGGGAAAGGAGTTACTAAAAATAACTCTAGGTAGAGCCTTGACTGCTGCTTCTCAGCATGATGTGTTCAGTTAAGATTTTAATATCATTTTAGCTCCTTGCTGCACCAGTTTGCAATGATGTTCAAGGGTAAAATGTCACACCTGACTAATGTTTTTGCACATTCCCTCTCGTTCCCGGAGTTTTGCGCTTGAGGTTGTTTTGAAATGTCAGCGCAGAACCTTTAAAGTTTACAGTTGGGTTTCTGGTGCTTGCGTCGACACGTCGTCACACCTTGCCATTGCTAATGGGCCCATCAGTGGATGAAGGTCACAGGAATGTGAGAGCGGCTCCCGCATTCGATCCGTCAGTGGGGAGAGTGTGAGACCAAGAGGACAGTGCATCCCTCAGGGGCACAGACAAGAGGGGGCCATTCACCATCATTACACACAGTAGGGTCGCCAAGTTGCTGCAGTGAAAGTTGAAAAACCAGTCTCCATTTGCTTTCTTTCTGTGCTATAGTATATCCTTCACTCTCTCTCTCTCCCTCCCCCTAAACTGTGTATTATTTTCCCCCCCCTTTCTGCTTACTGCCGAATGACCTTGAGAGTTCAGGGACGGCTTCCTGGAGTTGATGTGAGGCCGAACCAAGGGCAACTTTAGAATGATTGATCCATGAGATTAGACACGGATCAGAGTGGCGGTATTGTCCAGCCCCTATGTTTTTTGCTCCCGACATTAGAGCAAAACAAGCACGGCTTTTTGTTGGTTAATTTGTAATTCATTGCCGGGTACATTTTTTTGTGTCCGAGTCGATGATTAGCCAGTAACCTCAGCAGGCTTTGTCAATATATATGTTTTTTTTTGTTTGCTTGTTTTGTTTTTTTACCAGCTGGCCTTTCTGTGTGAATGCTTGGGTAGTTAATAAGTCCTGAATGTAGCTTTAGAAATGTGACCTTTCTGTATGACAGAATGATCATAGAAAACAACTTGTCTGTGTTCTGTAATTTTATTGAGGCTGGTTTTGGTTCAGGGTCTTAGGTAATATGTAATAAAGAGTTGTATGTAATAAGAGCTTCATGTCTGAGAGGTAGCTTAGATCTCAAGTCAACACAACGGCTAGCATCCACAACCCTGGTATTGTCTTATCAGCACAGCTGATTTTAATCTCTCCTGCATGAGAAAGAGGTTGTTCTACAGTAAATGTATGTGAAATTATAATGTTGTGTTTGTGTCACAGCAGTTTCACCTCCTTGGAGGCCTCAGGCCACACTTTCTCCAACCATTAAATATCTGCTGCACAACCAGCTTAACTCATCTCTTGTCAAGGGGGTAATTTGCAATATCTCAAGTGTTTGAGAACCGCTTGTCCCCGATCACACTGAAATGTTCGAGCATTCCTTTGCTGCAGTCCTCCTGCACAGCGAAAGCCAGGCTGGCAGTGATGTTCTTGCTGATTCAGCCTCTGCTAGCGGCATTGACTTTCTGAGACACAGAGCACCAGCGGTCATTGCCGTCAAGGCAACAGAACAGTTCAGGAGAAATCCTACACCACCGTTGCGTTCTGACTTGATGAAGGACGATCGTGACTGAGAGTTGAAGCACGTGCACTGAGCCTCACTTACCTTTTTGTGTCCTGCCTACAAGTCTAAAGTTGGTTTGAATTACATTGTGATTATGTAGTTCCGTTATGGTTGCAGTTGGGTCAATGACATAACACTTTTTAAAGTCAAAATTGTCAGTTAGGGCTGGGTGGTATATCAAGTTTATATGATTTATTAATATATTTTTAATAAACGATGTGGTATGAGGCAATACCTTTTATATCGATATCCAGTGAGCTGCTGTGGGTAAAGTGCATAATCCAGTTTGTCCTAAACATGAGACATGTTTATATTAAAGGGCTTTAAAATAACTTGTAAGCAATGTTCCCTCAATTTTTTTTTTCTTTTTTCTTGCTGATCAAAACTTTTCTCTATTGGGTGCCATGGGCGGACATTTTGGCCACCTGAGCAAAAACTTATACCAGACCTGTACAGCGCACACACAAACTTTAATGTGCTATTTATATTTGATTTGACCCTTGATGTAACTAAATGATGCACATCTTAGGTTACCTGAGAATTTTTTTTTACAGTGCTGTTACCAAGAAATTCTATTAAAAATCTTTTTTTTTAAATCTCACGCAGAACAGTTCAATTCTTTATAATAATATCATATAATATAATATAATATAATATGAACAAAATGAAGCCGATATTGCTCATGAATTCCCTTTTTGAGTTTTTTTAATTTATTAGGTTTATAATGAAATATAATATAAAAACAAACTGAAGAATTTAAACTGATGGAATAGAATAGAATACAATAGAAAACAAACTGAAGCTTTTAAACTGAGATCTGTAAGCTAGTTTACTAGAATTAAATCAAATGGTTTTCCCAACTCATTTTTACATGTGTGCTGTGCGTGGCATATTATTTCTTCTGTGCGGTCTTAGAGAGAGAGAACAAACATTGCTGTAATCTATATTTAACAAGTATAGTTTAAAGCAGCTCTCCCCATCAGATGCTCTGACAGTCAGATGCATGTGCTGCTGACAGAGACGCTATTTGTGCTATTTAATGTGTTTTTTCCTCAGTGCATTACAAAGTCATGGAAATATTTCCATTTTTCTGTCAGGAGTGCATGAGGCTGCATGTGATTCTCCGCTAAACTTAACAGACTTCAGTGAAGGAGACTTCATGCGCGCCAAACAGACGGAGCGCAATACAATAGGAGCGCAATAATTCTGACTAAAATGTACATTTTGCTAAAATATTTGTAGTTGGACAATAATCGTGTCGTGTAGAATTTTAAACCTACAAGTGTATATTATGATAGCAGTAACTGTACAGTGACTATTGTAATGGGGTCTAAATATAATGCAATTAATAGGCAATGTGCTTTTTGTTTGTATGTAACAGTGAATTTAACTTATGCTTTAAAAGTTGTTTTTTTACAATGTATTGTTACAATGTTAAAATGAAATATGATTCTAACAGTTTTTTGCACATAATATAGGCTATAGTATAGCCTACATGATTAATTGCACTATATTTGTTTTCATTGCCTTTTAAGATAAACGTTGTTTCATTGGGCATGATGTAAAAAAAAATTTTTTTTAATATATTATATATAAATATATTAAATATATATATTTAATCCAAATAGAAAAACGTAGAAAAAAACAAGATATATAACGTATATCGCAATTCAGCCAAAAAATACAGAGGTATGATTTTTTTGGCCATATCGCCCAGCCCTAAGCAAATGATTATTATTTCTTGGGCAAAAAAAAAAAAACATATTTTAAAAGTTGCTTCTCTGTATCTAGCTTGTTAATATTTGAAAGTTGCCCCTTTTAATTATTATTTTGCTTTAACACAATACAAAACATAACCTCAAAAGAACAAGGATTCTACCCACAATGCTAAGCCAGAGGTCTCGATCTGGTTAAAGGAGTCAAAAATAGCTCCCACTCAAGCAGCTGGTCTAAGCGAGCTTTGATTTAACCTATTTATGTCTCCTTTAATGGCGTGTTATCTCATTTAATTTGCCTCACAATTTCCCATGTCCATGACAGTAATTTGCCGCTGTTATCGCCTGCTAATTATCCAGCTAGTTTTCTTAATTGTCTTACTTGAGACGTTAAATTATTATTTCTTATCAAGCCGGAGCTGGCACATCCACACTCACAGATGTACTGCAGAAGACCGTAGTGAGATAGACACCTGATGCTGTTGCTTCCCAGCAGCAGAGCGACTGCCAATGACCTCCTGTGTTTTTCTTATTATAAGCATGCATAATGAATTTGATTGACAGTTGACTGCTTCAATCAAGCCTGAAATGAGTCTAGAGCTTATTGACAGCAGAGTCACACATGGATCATTGATTTGTATTATGCTTGTCTAATGTCACTGATCATGATTATTTTGGAGGCAAATAAAGACCGTGACACTAAACATGATTTTTTTTTTTTATCAGTGTGATTGTAATCATCCTAATCCTTCGAAATACATAAGAGGAGTAAGAGATGAAAGCAGGTCACTGCTTTTCACCAGTAATCACGCACGTTTCACTGTGTTGCTCCTCCGTTTGACCCACATAGTGAGGCTTCTCGGCAGTCCAACTGCTCCCCCTCCATTAAGCCCTTGGCACTTTGTCTTGTTATTGGATTATGGCTGAACTGCACAAGTCCGAGTACTTTTTTACTGCCTCGCTCTGGCTCCTGTGGCACCCCACCCTGCTATTTCTGGCCCTGTGTTTTCTTCCAGAGAAAGAGAGAGGTGCTTTGTAGCGTCCGTGGCAGCGCAAGCTCAGGCAGGCTGCCTGCAGAATTCCTCACATGCCATAGTAACCTGCCAGCATTGCTCCTCTTGCTTTTTCAGTTTGCTTTAGTTTGTGTTTGGATTGTCTCCATTGCGTCAGTGCCGAGCCGTACTGTCAGTTCAGTTCCAAAGCTATTTGGGTATCCAGATGTGCACTCCAGGCTTCAGGTCACTGGCACGGAGGAGGACTTTGTTCTCCAGGTTTTTCACATATGGATTCCTGGCTTAGTTTACGCATGGCTGAGTTGACCAATCGCCCCATCGACAGTTGCGCCAGGCATTTTACTGTAGCGACGCACAGCTATCACACACAATTATTCAGACTTCTTCAACCCAAACTAAACAGTATATATTGTGGTTTATTATCTCAAAGCTCAAGAAGTTTACGTGAATTATGAGGCTTGTATGTGAACATTAACCCTGACTTGTCGTGTTTTCTCTCCCTCTTTATCTCCTAGCAGATCTGGAGATGTCGGCAGACTCATTTGGAGCAGGCGGCAGCGATGCCCAGCAGAGCCTACAGTCCTTTTGGCCCAGAGTGATGGAAGAAATCAGGAATCTTACCGTGGTACAGGTTTCTCCTAGCTTTTTTACCTAGCTTATCACTTGGATACAGTATAAACACTGCCTTTCTCAAAACAAACCCTAAAAAGTCTTTACTGGAAAATTGTAGTTAACTATGTAGTATCTCAACAAGAGTCTACCACTGTTCATTAAGAGTAATTATTCATGTTATTGTGAGTTCTCCTCTAACGCACTCTCGCACTGTTTCAGAAGGATTTCCGTGTGCAAGAGCTTCCTCTTGCTCGCATCAAGAAAATTATGAAACTGGATGAGGATGTGAAGGTAAGAGCAGCCGAGCTGAATCAACACAATCACTCTAAGCCGATGGCAGCACACTTCCTGTCTTTGATTCTTGAGAAAGCAGCAACCCAGCAATTGTCTGCTGAACATCAAGTGGCAAGTTGCGTCAATAACTAGTGTAGTTTGCTATGGCAAGCTTCACTATTACTATTGCTCCTACTTGAATTTTTTTTTTGTTTGTTTATTTTCAAATCTTTAGTCATAGTATTGAAGTTATGAATGTTCTATACTATTTGTGCTATAGACATGAATCAAATCATGTGGCTTGAGGATTAGTATGATGGGTCTTAAATGACCTAACTTGCCTGCCAAAATAAGACGGCCAAAAAAATCCCATCGATTCTGATGAATATCGCAGAACCTTTTCTAGGGACCCTATGGGATAGTGAAGCACCCAAATTCAGCAACTGAAAATGTTAAAATAACGAAACACCTTTATTTTCGGTTTCATCTGGGTCAGCAACTATGTTGTGCACACCATGTTGATAAGCTACAACAGGTAAATGTGTCAGTAAACTGGGCATACATCACTCTGCCCAAAAATGATTCTAGAATAGCAATATGTCAAATTTGTTCAGCTGAAATATTGATAGGTTGCCAAAGAACTTTGCTGTTAACTAGTCTTCATTTATGACATGTGGATATGACACTCTGAACTGCATACCAAGTTCAATTACCCTGTTACCCAAATTCAATTAACAAAACATTTATTTTTGGTTTCAGTTTTTGTCTAAATGAAATCATTAATTTTGGTTTCGGTGTTATGGGAAAAAAAATTACAGTAGTACCACACTACTATGAGATCCTTTTGCTTAGTCCACCTAGACTGACCCAAAAGTCTCCTAGAAATCATCAGAACATGCTAGCAACCATATATCGACATGCTTCAAACCCCTGTGAACAATGCCCTGGCAACCCAATGCCCTTTGCAATGCCCTGGCAACCTTCCATCTCACCCTAGCAAAGATATTTTTCAGCATATACAAATTAAATAATCCATATATGGTCAATTTAATTCATAAACTGCCATTAATGAAAGTATGGTTATAAAGTTTCCTAGTTGATTTTTAAGGCAAAAAATCAAAATTGAATGTTTTTGTGGTCTTCTCCATATGAAAAGTAAATATTTTCAGTGGCTTCAGCTGCAGTGCAGTCTGATTTGGACCACTACAAACAGTAATCTATTATTTTCTCAGCATTGTGAATAGAAAAACTATTATATCCAGTCATCTGGCCATTTTCTGTGAAACAGCCTGATATTTGGTAGTGTGTAAACATTGAATAGACTTTTTCCGAGAACTAAAAATAACTTCTCTTATGACAACGTCAGTTCCATGTATTGCCAATATTTACTCTATTTGCCAGATCCTTTAACAAAGCAACATGCACATAAACAAACCTTCAAGTATAAATAAGAACATGGCATCAGTACTGTCGAAAGAGCTAGAGGTCATTTCAAGAGTGCTTAGCTGCGTGGGAAGCAGGCATCAGGTCAGGGTGTTGTCCAGACTCTCAAAATTACCTGCAGCTTAGAGTGGAAAGAGAGAAAAGCCAAGGCAGTTAAGAGCTCAGGAGCAGTGGCATGGGCAAGACACCTGGGTCAGTTCTTGACGTAGCCTCTTAGGCCACTACGTATGTCCATCTGTCTGTTGGCAGGCCAAAACATGCCGGGCATAGTGAGTGTCTGGATAGGATTGTATGTCGTCCTTTCATTTCCCCTTTATTAACTTGCTTTGGTAATCCTCCATAGATGATCAGTGCCGAGGCACCAGTGCTGTTTGCCAAAGCAGCACAGATCTTTATCACAGAGCTCACTCTCAGAGCCTGGATTCACACTGAGGACAACAAGCGGCGCACACTACAGGTCAGTCATGTTCATTCTCAACTTCCCTTTGACCCCTCGCCCTAGCCAGCTGAGATAAACCAGTCTCCTCTGTGACAAAATTATCTTTTTTTGTTTTTGAAGAAGACTGGAAATGATAGAAGGAAGATGGTGGGTGGGGTCAGGAAATGACTTTGAACTGGTTTTAAATTGGGGTCACCTGCACCCTGTATTTCAGAGCACTACCTGCTAAGCCATGTGTCTGGTGATCGCCATATGTATAGTAGTTCTCAATTTAAGACAAACTTGGGTTTATTTCCTGATTCCAACCACCATCTTCCTGACTGTTTTCCTGACTGTCACATTTACCGTTGCTTGGCGAAATTTCATAGGCAAAATCCAGTCATTTCAATAGGAATAACTGCAAACTGGAGTTTTGTTTCAGAGCGAAAAAGATCTCCATGCAGTGTTCGCTCATGTTCAAGTTGGACTTGTGAACTTGCTGCGATCAACAACAGAAATCTGCTCAATTTGAAAATGACTTCTGTGTGAGCTGTGCTTCATACATCACTACACTATTGACAATGGAAAATTTTTCCCATGAAATTTCGCTAATATTTTGCTAATGTGACTGCACCTTTAGCCATTGTTCCTATTATCTTCTGTTCTCCATGTGAATAGGTCCAACCCCAAAACATTACGGCAAAGATAAAAAAAAACTAAAATGTTCCCTTCTAATACTACATGCACTGGAGTCATGACACAGCTTGTCTGTTTATGGGAAGAGCCCCCCACAGGCCCCCCAAGGCTTATCTCTGTTCCACTGTAGCGTAGAGTCTAAAAGTATCTACCATGACCCACTTACTTTTTTCCATTG